ACAGGATTCAATACTCATCTTTCATTAATAACTTTAAACATTAATGGACTGAACTCCCCAGTCAAAAGACACAGACTATATGAATGGATTAATAAACAAAACCCACCTTTTTGTTGTCTGCAAGAAACTCATCTCACTTCCAAGGACAGACACTATCTCAAAGTGAAAGGATGGAGAAAAATATACCAAGCATATGGTACTAGGAAAAAAGCAGGTGTAGCAATTCTAATATCTGACAAAATACACTTTAAACTAAAACTGATCAGAAGAGATAAAGAGGGCCACTTCACTCTGATCAAAGGAACAATAAATCATGAAGATATTACAATCATTAACATATATTGACCAAAATCTGGTACCCAACTTAATAAAAACAATACTACAAGACTTTAAGACCCAGATTAATCCCAACTCATTAATAGTAGGGGACTTCAATACCCCACTGTCTCCATTAGATAGGTCAACAGGGCAGAGAGTTAACAGAGAGACATCTGAATTAAACAATACCATATGTCAAATGGACTTAACAGACATCTACCGAGTATTCCACCCAAGCACCAAAGGACATACTTTCTACTCAGCACCCCATGGTACCTTCTCCAAAACAGACCATATACTGGGGCACAAAATAAACCTCAACAAATACAAAAAGACTGAAATAATTCCATGCATTCTAACAGACCACAATGCAATAAAGCTTACAATCAACACCGGAAGAAACCCTAATCGCCACATGAACAAATGGAGATTAAACAACACACTCCTGAATGATGAATGGTTCAAAAGAGAAATTAAGAAAGAAGAAAATTATTCCTGGAACTAAACGAAAAGGAAAATAGAACACAAAAAAACCTCTGGGACACATTGAAAGCTGTCCTTAGAGGGAAGTTTATAGCTCTAAGTGCCTACATCAAAAAATCGGAAAGAACACAAATAAATGACTTAACATTGCAACTCAAGACACTTGAAAACCAACAATAAACAAAAGCCAAACACAGCAGACAAGAAGAAATAAAAATCAGGGCAGAAATTAATGAAATCGAAACAAAGAAAACATAACAAGGAATCAACAAATCCAAGACCTAGTTCTATTAAAAGATAAACAAGATTGACAGACCGCTATCCCAGTTAACCAAAAGAAAGAGCACCTCCAAATCAACAAAATCAGAGATTAAAGGGGAAACATCACAACAGACACCAGAAAGATGAAGAATATTATAAGGGAATGCTTTAAAAACCTATATGCTATTAAATTTGAAAACCTAAAAGAAATGGACAGATATCTAAAGGCATGGGAAACACCAAAACTAAACCAAGA